AGGCTCGGAGCTGTCACCTCAGAGCGTGACATGGGGCTCGAACTCATGAACCATGAGATCATGACCTGAGCTGAAGTCGGATGCTTAACCGACTGCGCCACCCAGGCGCCCCACAGTGATCAGTCTTACTAAAAGGATTATCATTTGTTTTAGCTTTTTTTTTTCCCCCAAATGAGCAATTTCTTTGATATTTCTCTCCTGCATGTTTGTTTTCTGTTTCTCAAAACAATTTTGCTCCAGGGTTGCCTGGGTGGCTAGGTCGGTTAAGCATCTGAGTCTTGATCTCCGCTCAGATCGTGATTTCATGGCTCATGGGATCGAGCCCCGTGTCGGGCTCTGTGCTGACTGTGTGGGGTCTGCTTGGGGTTCTCTCTTTCCTTTTCTCTCTGTCCCTGCTCTACGGGTTCTTGTGAGCACATGTTCTCTTTCTCTCTCTCTCAAAATAAATAAACATAAAAACTTTTTTTTTTCTTGTTCCAGTTTTTGCTCTTTCTTCTACTTGGGGATTAGTTCTTTTTTTTATTTCCTATTTCTTGGTAGGGATGTTCAGTGAGGGTGTTTGCTTACTTGGTTTATTGATTGCCATGGGGGTTTGCTGACTCCACCGTGATTGTAGACGGGTCAGTTTTTCTTTTTGGCTCATCAGTTTTTGGTTCATACATTTGGGGCTGTCTTATTTTATGCCAGTTTAGAATTCCTATGGCTTTTAGTGGGTCATCATGTTTATTATCATAAAGTGAACCTCTAGCTTGAATGGTATTTTTTGCCTGAGGTCTCTTTTGTCAGGTATTAACGATGACTTCACTTCCTTTTCGGTTAGTGTCTGCCTGGTTTTTAACCTTTTGCTTTAGCCATTTTGTGTCCTTATCTTTTAAGGCATGTCTCTCAGGATTTGTATAAAATAAGATTATAGGGGCGCCTGGGTGGCTCAGTCGGTTGAGCGTCCGACTTCGGCTCATGATCTCGTAGTTTGTGGGTTCGAGCCCCATGTCGGGCTCTGTGCTAACAGCTGAGAGCCTGGAGCCTGCTTCAGACTCTGTGTCTCCTTCTCTCTCTGCCCCTCCCCCACTCATGCTTTGTCTCGCTCTGTTTCTCAAAAATAAATAAATAAATAAATGTAAAAAAAATTAAAATAAGATTTTAAACTCTACTCTCATAATCTGCCTGAAGAAGCCCCTGTGGTGTTTCTGTCAGTGTGTGCCTGCTGGTGACAGATTGCCTGTGTGTGTCATGTTTGGGGGATGGGTTTGCTTAGTTTGAAATTCTAGGTGGGTAGTTATTTTCTTTCCCCACTTTGGAGATATCACTCATTTTCTGTTGAGAAGTCAGCTGTCAGTCTTCTTCTTTTTGGCAGCTTCTAATTTTCTTTTTTTTTGTCTTTCGTTTTTAGCAGTTGGTCTTCATATGGTTTTCTTTGTGTTTACTGTTTTATATTTAACTTTGAGAGGTCCCAAGTGAAAGACTGCAGCGTTCCTCTTTGGCAAGCCCTGAGCTCCGATTCCCCCCCCACCCCCCCATTCCCGTGAGATTGCTTCAAAACTTACACTCTGTCTGCCTTGGTTGTTGTCCGTTGCCCTCAAACAGCTGTCTTAATGTGTTTTATCTAGGATTTCGTGAAAGAATTCCTCTGATAATAAGCTATTTCTTTAAAGCTGGCAGAGAAAGTCTACATAATTTTCTTTGCTTCTTTGAGATGAGCAGTGTTACAGCGTTAATGCAGCTGATGGGAACGGTTCTGTAGAGAGGGATATTATTGGTGATGTCAGCCGGGAAGAGGACACCTGCTGGAGTGATGGCCCTGAACAGACAGGAGGGGTGGAATCTAGTGCACGGGGTGCTTCGTCACGGGTTAGGTCATCTGTAGGAACAGGAGGGAGGGCAGAGTGTAAGGCTTAATCCTGGTGGTTAGATTTGGTGGTGGGTGTGGGTGAAGGTTTTCTTCTGAATACTTCTGCTTTCTTAGTAACCTGGTGTCAGGATTGGGTAGGAGGTTTGAGGTTTAAGGAGAGAGAGGAGTTAGGAAATGGGCTGTAGATGAACACGACAGTGAACGGTGTAGGGAGGTACAGTAGGATTGCCCGGCAGCACAGAGGCTCAGCTGAGGTGAGCGGTCATGGACTTGGGGGATCTAAAAAGTGAAAGCATTGGGGTGCCTGGGTGGCGCAGTCGGTTAAGCTTCCCACTTCAGCTCAGGTCACGATCTCGCGGTCCGTGAGTTCGAGCCCCGCGTCAGGCTCTGGGCTGATGGCTCAGAGCCTGGAGCCTGTTTCCGATTCTGTGTCTCCCTCTCTCTCTCTGCTCCTCGCCCGTTCATGCTCTGTCTCTCTCTGTCCCACAAATAAATAAACGTTGAAAAATTTAAAAAGTGAAAGCACTGAGACACGCCAGCCCTCAGATGAAACTGGATATTATCAACCGAGGATAATGATGTCATCTGGAGGGATAGAAACGAAACTGTACTTTTAGGTTCTGAGCGTTCGAGATTGCAGGGCACGTGTCTAAAGCAAAACCAAAAAGTGGTCTCTGGGTCACAGATGTTTAATGTCCCATGGAGAAAGGTAATTCTTTCTGAAACAAATTATGACTCCCAGGGAAGTCTCCCACAGTTGTGTGGGTTAGGGCTGTGCTCAGTAACCAGACGGAGGCTCCCAGCTCTGCCTGCTGGGACTCGTGTGCGTGAACGGGCTCCACGGGTGCGGAGGAGGTCCCCTTGGCTCCCCTTGGCCGAGGCCCCCTCGGTTCCTGGCATGGCCTCCGCGCCCAGGCTCGGAGAGCTGGCTGTGAATTTCAAAGCGTGGGTGCCGCTGAGAGCCCCCGCTGCCGCGCCGGCCGGTGTGCCGGAGGGCCCCCTCGTGGCGTAGCCCACGCTGACGTTGGAGGATCTGGTGGATCCCGCGATGCGGTTCCCCGGGGCTCCTTCAGGACCGCCTCACGAAGAGCCCCTGTGTGCCCCATCGGCGCCCTCCTGTCCGCTGCCTCGGCCCTTCTCTCATCTGCTCCGTTCCCCGACACGGCACTGGGTTCGGCTGCTTTTCTTAGCCAATGTGGAGTAGCCAGCCGGCACTGAGCAACGTGTAAATTATGTTCTCAGGGCTAAACGGCAGTGAGTCGAACGGTTTTTTCTTCCGACAAATACATCCTACTGGTCTAGAGATTTGCCCCTGCAAACATTTTTCCTTGATGCTAAATGTTAATTTTTCCTGGAAAAAGTCAATTATGAACACGTGTATCAGGCACACAGCAATGTTTAAAGGCTGACCCTGAATACTCACCACCTAACGTTACAAACAAGATTGGAGTCTTCTGTGACCTTTGCTAGTCTCCTCCGTCTCCGTCCTTGCAGAGGTCCCCACCAACCAAATTTGGTATTTATCATTCCCATGCATATTTTATGTCCCGAAGTAGCATTCTTTACTAGTTTTTAACTCGTGTACGTATATGTGTACATAAGTAAGCTGTACGCCCAACGTTGGGCTTGAACTCACGGCCCCGAGGTCAAGAGTCACATACTCCACCAACGGAGCTAGCCAGCCGCCCCCCTAAATAGCAATTCTTTTAAAAAGAGTTATGCAGGGGTGCCTGGGAGGCTCAGTCGGTTAAACGTCCGACTTCGGCTCAGGTCATGATCTCGCGTTTGTGAGTTCGAGCCCCGCATCGGGCTCTGTGCTGGCAGCCCGGAGCCTGAGAGCTGCTTTGGATTCTGTGTCTCCCCTTCTCTCTGTCCCTCCCGTGCTCATGCTCTGTCTCTCACTGTCTCTCAATAATAAATAAACATTAAAAAATTAAAAAAAAGAAGAGTTGCGCAAATGGTTATCCTGTGTCTTTCTGTAAATATATAATAATAATTTATATCGTTAAATATATAAATGTAATATATGTTAATGTTCTATATTAATTGCATAATTATGTGTTCTTCAACATCCGGATTCATCCATATTCATGCTCTGATTTCTTGGTTTTCATGCCGAACACGTATTATTCTGTTATATAAATACATCTTTTATTAGAGATCCTGCGGATGGATATTGAGATTAATTCCAATTTTTTTGCTATTTTATACATGTTGCACTGAATGGTGCTGCTGTACTTCTTTCCTTGGGCATATGTTTGAGGTTTTCTAGAACTGATGGATTGTAGGGCATGTGCTGTGTGCATGGTAGTTCACACTCCCACAGGAAGTGTATGGGCTCAGAATGTCCAGCCTGGGCTGGGAACTGGTGCTACATCCAGTCACGATTACTTTATAATGGACGTATGAGAGTCGGTCGCTGAGTGTAAACCTTCTGTGCTGTAATTCTACTTTGTTTTGTATTTGTTCATTTAAATGGGGGCCTTCCTTTTCTCGTATAGTTTAACATCATTAGGAAGAATGCCTTTGTTGAGCCGCAGAGTAAGTGATCCCTTACGCATTTATTTTTTTCTGTTCCAAATGTATGATTCTGTGATAAGCTCATGATTATGAAATTGTCAGTTTGCTCGTACGTTCATGCCAGTGATTCTGAAACATGATCTGCGGTCACCAGGGCGGGGATCCGTGAAGTCAGACTGATTTTTACAGTGATTAGCCCTTTTCACAGGGTTGACGTTTACCCTGATGGGGCAGAGGCAAGGGGAGGGTGAAAACTGCCAGTGTCTTTGTAAGAGCGGAGGGAGTGCCCCAGTCTGTAGGCATTTATGTCAATATGAATGGGTTTATTTGTATTCTTAAAGGAGTGGATAAATATTTAGGACACTTCATAGTTTTAGTTTCTGATGGAGTAACTATCGGTAGATATCATCTAAAGTAGGTCTCTTCTCAGAGCGTAGGGCCCTGAGACCGCAGAGTTTGAGAACCACTGCTTGAAGCACATGGTAGATGTGTGAACGGGCATTTTATTCCTCCTCATGCTGGTCTTTAAGTTGATATTCAAGTGACAGATGAATCTTAAGTAAGTTTTTAATTCAGTGCCTTGAAACTTTGTGTATAACTCGATTGTATTTGTAAATAAAATACTCTGCAGGTGCCGACCTTAAGGAGAGAGTCAAGATGAATCCCAGTGAAGTCGGTCCTTTTGTCTCCAAAATAAGAGCGGTGATTAATGAGATCGGTAAGCTCAACTACGCTCCTTTTGGCATGCTGCAGATGACCTCAAATGTCAGATTTAGAAAGCTGCACATTGTCTTTATATGTACACTTTGGCCAAAATACTTACGTATTTAACCAGATAACCAGATAACCAGGACCTGTAGCCGGTTGCTGTAAAACGGCATGTAATGAATGTGTTTGATTTGGCAAATAATGAACAATATTTTGTAATTAAAAATGCCTCCTATGTATGATGACGTGGCATAGGAAGGTAGTTATTGGAAAACAAAGAGAATGTCTCCTAGATAATTGCATAGACACACATTTATTGATCCAGAGTTGTTTTGTTGTTTACATAAATAGGATCGTACCGTTTTCTTAGAGTTATAGACTTCTGGGTAATATTTGTGTCTCAGTACATATCAACTTTATTATTAACACTTTTTAATATATTGTGGTGTAGTAGTCCGTAACATTGTGTTATCCCAAACTGTAAATTACTTTATTAATGTGTAGGGGTTTTATTTTCCATTTTTGTTATTTATAGCAAAGCAGTGGATGTCTTTGTATTAAGTCTTTGAGAGCATTAGTACATGTATCTGTAGGGTAGATTCCCAAACGTGGGATTGCACTTCTAAGTATCATGTGTTTCTTTTACAGTTTTAATCCTTTTCACCACATTATATTCCAAAAAGATTGTAATAACTTACATTCCCATCAATTACATGACAGGACTTGTTTCCTCATAATTTGCCAGCATTTAATGTTGCTACTTTTAAGTTTGCCAAGGTTAAAAAAAAACAAAACAAAAAAAAGACATGTTAGCATTTTATTTTATTTCATTTTGTTTTAATTAATTACTTTTTTGGACATCTTAGCATTTTAATTTGCTTTTCCCCAGATGCTTGTGTGATGTTCTTTCTTTTCAAATTAGACCTGCCTCTTCCCTTCTGCAGATGCCTTTTCACATCCATACTCCTCTTTCCTGTAGCATGATTAGCTATGCTTATTTATTTAAAAGCCACTTTGTAGTAGTCTTTTGTGGTTAAGTGTGTTACAGATGTTGTCTCCTAATGTGCACCCCTGATTCAATTCCAGTATTTGAATGGAAAACTTTTAATATCTAGAGGGTACTAAGTTCTCTTCATTCTTCTTTTGCCTTTTTCCTTGAGGAGTTTCTCTGGTAATTGCTACACATCAATTCTTCCAAATGAATTTGGAATTATTAGTTTTTAAAACAAGGAGGAAAAATACTGTCATGGGACTGTGATTGGGATTTCTCTAAGTCTCATTTAGAAAGAATTAACATTTTTATGGTATTGAATTTTTCCATCCATGACGTATGTGTATGGGTTTCATTTTGTCTGTGTAGGGGTCATTCGGTTTTCTAGTGTCCTTCAAGAAAGTTTTTTCCGCTTTGGTTTTGCTTGGTCTCGTGTCTTCCTCCACCCCCAACCCCAACCCCCCAGTTTATTCTTTCTATTTTATACCATTTATTCCTTTGAATGGCACTTTTTCTCTTATTTCTGTTGAAGTCTGGTGATTGTAGTTCTGTAGGAAAGTTACTAAATTCTAAGTGCTTATTTTATATCCTAGCAGCTTGATGATTACTTTTACTGGCTGTTGATATTTCCCAGTTAATTTTTTTGTGCTTTCCAGATGAAAGTTCATTATCTATAAGTAATGCTGTTTTTGTCTTTACTTTCCCAACCTCTTAATCTTACATATTTTCCCTGTATTTTTACCTTGGCTGAACCCTGCGGTACAATATTCAGTTGCTGGACTGTGTCCATCCTTATCTTTATTTGACTTTGATGAATGCTTTTAATATTTTGCCAGTAATTATCAAGTTCGGGGAGTTTCCTTCCATTTCATCTTATTAGGAATTTGTTGCTGTCTTTTGATCAGGAATAGGTGTTAAAATTTGTCAAATGCTTTTTTTTGATACAGCTGACCCTTCAACAATGTGGGGATTAGGGATGTTGACCCCGACATGGTAGAAAATCTGTGTATGACTTTTGACTCCCTCAGAACTTAGCTACAGTAGCTTACTGTTGACCAGAAGCCTTCTTGGTAGCATAGTCAATTAACACATATTCGGTATGTTACATATATATTCTCACAACAAAGTAGTAATACTTTAATAATAATATTCCTAATATTACTGTAATAATAATATTCTTAGAATAAAGTAAGCTAGAGGAAATGAAATGTTATTAAGGAAATCGTAAGGAGAAGAAAATACAATTACAGTACTGTACTGTATTTATTGAAAAGAACCTATGTATAAGTGGACCAGCACAGTTCAAACCTGTTGTGTAAGGATCACCTTTAATTGGTATATATTAGAATTTATCTCATATATCATGTAATCATACAATTTATAACGCTCTACTGGCCTTGTATGACTAGAAGAAACCCTACCTGGTCGTTGTGGTTAGTGGTTATAGTGGTTTTTGATATACACTGCTGGGTTCCATTTTTATATGTTTTGCTATCATCATAAATGAGATTGATCTTCTGCTTCTTTTTTTGTGTGTCACCCTTTTCTGGTTTGATGTTAAGGTTGTTGAACTTCACAGAACGACCTTAGCTTTTCTGTGCTGTACAGGGAAGTCCTCTGTTATTTCAAAGGTTAGTGGAACTTGACCGTGTAATATCTTTTTGGGGTCTTGTGTGGTTTTGTTATTGTTTACTTGGATGTTTGTTTGTTTTTGGAGCTAAGTTTTAGAATATATTTGTGTATTGTGTTTGTTTGTTTTTCATCCCGTGCTGCTGTCACCGGTGGCTCTCCTGTGCTGCTCTCTCCAGCTTGGGCCTCGTGGTCAGATCCCAGGTCTCCCGAGGCAGACCATGGACTTGGTTTCCATGTTGGTCAGAGAGCACGGTCTTGGAGGTGGAAGCTGACCCTGTCTTTAACTTTATGTGTATGCTAGGAGGAGTGGCTGAGGCTGGGCCAGTTGTGAATATCACCTTGATGTTTCTTCCAAGCCTCTTTCCATTTTATTAATTTTGAAATTAGAATTTTTCTGGGACTTTTAAAATGAAGACTGGTTCCTGTTTTTGCAGTGGCATTTTCTTCTCAGTGACTGACTGTAGCTGTGGCATTTCCGTTTTGGATTCTCATCCAGTCTATATTTTTCTGTCCCATGAGTTCCCCAGTATTTATGAGCGATGGTTCTTGTTAGAACATTACACTGGACATGACATTTTAAGTTGTCTTTTGTGGTGGCTTAATGAGATTTTGAGGGGCAGATGGAAGCTAAGTGTTTTGATCTAATCTACTCATTTAATATATTAAACCAGGGCAGGCAGACTTAAAGGTACAGATAATATCTTAGGTTTTGCAGAGCCATGATGGTTTCTTTCACAGCTGCTCAACTTTTTTTTTTTTTTTTCCTCCAGCGACTGTTTTTCTAGAGCAGTTTTAGGTTCACACCAAAATCGAGGGGAAGGTACAGAGATTTCTCTCATACTCCCTGCCACCACATACCCACAGCCTCCCCTGTTGTCAGCATCCCTCACCAATATGGTACATTCATGACAGCTCACGAGCCTCTGCTGATACGTCATAATCATCCGGAGTTCACAGTTCATATGAGGGTCACTGGTGTTGTCCAGTCTGTGGGTTTGGACACATCCATAATGACGTGGATCCAGCATTCTGGTGTCACACAGAGTACTTTTGGCGCCCTAACGCTTCTCTGTGCTCAGCGTGTTCTCCCCTCTCTCCTCTCTGACAACCTGTTTTTCCGTCTCCCTAGTTTTGCACTTCCAGAATGTCATATGGTTGGAATCATACGGCACGGAGCCTTTTGAGATGGGCTTCTTTCACATAGTAAGACATATTAAAGTTTTCTCCCTTTTTATGCCTTGATATCTTATGTGTGTCTAGTGCTGAACAGTATTCCATTGTCTGGATGGACCACAGTTGATTTGTCCATTTACTTACTGAAGGACAGCTTGGTTGCTTCCAAGTTTCGACAGTTATGAATAAAGCTGCTGGAAACATCTATGTATCGGTTTTTGTGTGGACGTAGGTCTTTTAGGAAGATACCAAGGAGCATAAATGCTGAATCACATGGCAGGAGTGTTTAGTTTTGTATAAAAACCTTCCTGACTCTCTTCCCAAGTGGGTGTGCTGTGATGCGTCCCCAGTGGCAGTGGCTGAGAGTTTCCGCTGCTCTCTATCCTTGTCAGCATTTGGTGGTATCAGTTCCATATTTTGGCCATTCTGACAGGTTTGTAGTGTTATCTCATTGTTTTAATTTGTATTTCTATGATGACATACGATGCGGAACATCTTTTCACATGCTTATTTCCTATCTGTATACCTATGGTGAGGTGTCTGTTAAGATTTTAGCCCAGTTTCCGATTGAGTTATTTGTATTTCTTTTCTTTTCTTTCTTTCTTTTTTTAATGTCTGTTTTTGAGAGAGAGAGAAGGAGAGAGAGAGAAAGAGAGAGAGGGAGGGAGGGGCAGAGAGAGAGGGAGATACACAAGCAGGCTCCACGCTCCGAGCTGCCAGCATAGAGCCTGATGCGGGGCTCGAACCCAGGAACCGTGACCGTGAGATCATGACCTGAGCCGAAGTCAGATGCTTAACCGACTGAGCTACCCAGTTTGTATTTCTTATTTTTGTTTACAAAAATGCATAGTTTGTATTTCTTATTTTGTTTGTATTTCTTATAGCTTAGTTTAAGAGTTCTTTGTATGTTAGATAATAGTTCTTTATCAGATATCAGATTATTTTGTAAATATTTTCACCGAGCTTGTAGTTTGTATTCTTTTTCTCCTGACATTTTTTTGTAGAGCCTAAGTTTTTCACTTTAATAAAGTCCATCTTATTTTTTCTTTCATGGATTGTGCTTTGGTGTTATACCTAAAAAGTAGTTGGCCATACCCAAGGTCATCTAGCTTTTCTCCTATGTTATCTTCTAGGAATTTTATAATTTTGTGCTTTACAGTTAGATCTGTCATCCATTTTGCGCTAACATTTGTGAAGGGCATAAGGCCCGTCTG